CCCGGAGGTGGAAAAAGGCAGTCTTGTAGTGCCTTGGCATTTCTAATGGTCTCTGAGAAAGCTGGGAGGTGGTTTGTTGGGTCTCCAGGGAGGCAATGATTTCTGATGATGAAAAGCTTGGTTTGACAGCATGAAAGGCAGCTGCCAGCCTCACTGAGAGCTCACACAGCCGGGCAGGGCAGGCGGCCAAACCCCACTGAAGGGGGCATTTGTGAAAAGCTTTGTGGACCCAAAGGGTCAGAAGTGATACTCTCAGAGGAGAGCACAAGTCTCCTCTGGCCAGACCAAACAGCCCTGCAGCTCAAGGAAGGTTGCTCCTTCCCACTGCCGACAGGTCTGGAGCATCCCCGGTTGGTGTGGTCCTTGGAGCAGAGCCAGCTGTTTCCCAGACACCAGCATTCCTCCTCTTCATTCACCACAGCTGTGCTGCAGTAAGGGAGTTTTTATTTACTCAGGACTGTGATGACAATATGAGTAGAACAGCGTACTTTTGCCAACCTCCTTTATATGCACTTTGATAGATGATGCTATGCAGATTGTTTCTTTCTAATCTTAAACCTCTATTTATAAACATACTTTCTGTCAATAGGTCTCATATCACTTTGTGAGCTATTGCAGTATGGCACTATAGTTGCTGTTATCTGACAAATGCATAAATCAAATAGAATAAAAAGAGATTTATTTCACCACTGGTCAAAGCCAGTGCTATAATTCAGTCCCCAGTTCCCAAGTATCTCCCACTTCCACTTCTGTCACTGGCATTTCTTCCCTTCTCTAGAAAAAAAGTCTGAAGAAAACAGAAGATCTTCTCAAGAACAAAATTTGTAGTGATATTATACATACGATAGTGTTACACCAGCAGTGACATAAATCTACAAGTATAATGTACCAGAGAAAAATAACTGCTGAGAGCAGCATGATAGCTGGATTTCATGCTGTTTGCTTTAATCTTCTCATATAATGTGGCATACATATTTCAGAATGCAAACACTGACTTGCTTCTCCTTAGGTTTTGAATTGGTAATATAATCCACATGACAAAGACTAGAAAACAAATGTTTGAGAGATGCATATTCATCTGTATCTGCAAGTCTGTCTTGAGGCAAGGCAGAAAAGGCGTAAATACAGGACATAGAATTAGCCTTTTCTAAAAACATTTATTTCTCCAACTAGGAAAAAATCCAGGGGCAAAATTTCTAATACTACAGTATTTATCTTGCAAGTGTCTTGTAAAATGTATTTCTGATACAACCAAAGCAAATTTACAAAGTTGTAGACAAAAATACCAGGCATATGCTATGAAGCCTATCCTGGGAAACTCTGGCAGTGAAACAATACAACAGCCATTGTGGTCCAACAGCTTAACCTTAGCTCCCATTGTGATGCAACAAAACTGAGTTTGTACCTAAGGGACAAACCTACATGATCAGGGAGTTAATTTTGATCCTGTATGTAGTCTTGATGAGCTCAGCTCTGGAACCGTGCAAATTGTTCTGCTGGTAGTGTTTTTTAAAGATTTCAAAAAAAATTGAAGAAGGTAAGGAGAGCGTCATAAAATTATTCAAAATGCCTTTAAAGACTATCTTCCTTCATCTCTTTATCAAAAAGAAAATTGCGAGAACATTTGTATATAGTGTCTAAATAAATGGGAAGAAAACGCCAATGGAGTCATTGCAAGAACTTGTGACTAGACCCTAAAACCAGGTGAATTTAAATCAGAAATCAGAAAAACTGTTAAAGTAGTGCATTGTCCAGTCTTTGATATGTTTGGTAGGTATCCTGCTGGAAGATATGTTTGTTTTTGCTTGATGGAGGAGAAACAGGGTGTTGTGGTATGGGCTAAAACAGATACACCATGGATCAGATTAAAAGTTACACTCAGTCCAGCCAGCACAATCTAACAGCAAGGCAGGTGACAATCTAACAGCACTTGCAGGTGAGGTGTCAAGGCTGTTCTGTTGTCAATAGGGAAAGTAAGCCAAGAGAATGAATCACACCATTTATCTCAAACACCGATCTCAGGAGGAGATGAATTGCCTTTTTGGGTTGTCTTGCTCTGTTATTTGGATTGGGAAATGAGACAGCTTCATCTGTACTCTGGGACAAAGTTATGTGAGGTGAATCCCAGCTCTGCCCGATGGTCCCTATGGATCTGGAGTGACCAAGCAGGCCAGCTGCAGATGTTACTCAGCCTTTGCTCAGCTCCCAGTCACCCACTGCTTTAACCCAAGTTTTGGGTTATCTGCTGTGCGTGCAAAGAGCAGTCTCTTCTGGCTGTATTTTTGTGGGCATTTCTCAGTAAGAACAGATTTATTTCTTCAGAACATGCATTTTTCTGCAGCTTGACCATTCTCAGCTACTCACATCCCCCAGCTGCCACTTACACTCCTGCTCAGTGGGACCAGCAGGCAACTTAGTGCTGCTTTTCCTTTACAGCAGCCCAAACCCTCCACAGCTGGCTCTTCTTTGTCATGTCCTCTTACATGTTTGCTATAGACCCTAATGTATGCACAGCTTCTTAGCTGCTTTACAGACAGGAGGCGTGTGTGTTGGTGCCATCTGGCATCACAGGGCTTCGTGTCCCTGGTGCTGGCAGGGTTGCAGTAGGAAGAGGCCGAGGGCCCCAAGAGTCCATCTTACTCCACAGTGCAGCATTTCTGGGAATAACCTAAAACTGGAAGAAAAGGCATAGAGAATTGGGGCTTAAGGAGCTGCTTCTGGGCAGTGCCACAAGGCAGTGCTTCGTCTCCCTCTAGTGATGCCTGGGAGCAGGAAGGAGGGTGGCACAGCTCAGGTTTGACCATGGCTCGCATTCAAGTTTGGCTTGTGTCTTATGGCCTAGTCCTGTGAGAGCTGCTCATCCCTCTACATGGTTTCCCTTAGTGGCTTCTTACTCTCCTGTCCTCCCCTAAGGGAAGATTTCATCCATCGAGTCTATGGGAAGGACAAGCAGGCCCAATTAATTGCACAAGTCAGACAAATAAAGCAGTTTCATCCTCAGGCCACAGGCATATCACACAAGGCCATGTGTGGTCACAGGTGAACCCAGTCCCTGCCCAGACAGGCTTCTCCCTCTCCTGGCACATGGTGGGAGGCCCAAGTCTCCATACCTGACTAGTGGTTCCCGTCTCTGTCTCCCGGACAGAGCTCTGGTTAAGGCTAAATACATCATCCCGTACTGTGGGAAGACATTCTGTGGATGAACTGCAATCCCTTAGGCAGCCTAATCTAGCAGAGGCCATGTCAGAGCTCACGCCACCGTCTTAGGCCAGAGAAGAGGGCCCTTGTATCACTGGAGAAGACCATCTGTGCAGGCAGTTTGCAAAGCAAGAAAGCAGAAGATGGAAAATGGTCTCATGCTCCAGGATATTATATCTGGCCTGCTTGGTGTTGTGCATTGTCACTGCTCAGAAAACACCATGGGTTACCTTCTTTGAGCAAGAGACCTCCCAAACTTGCTCTCTCTGGACGGAGTCATGTTACGGTGTCTTGGGTCTTTTAGAGGACACCTTGGTCACTCATCTTCGCACAAGGGGTGAATGTGTATCCTCCTGGTCTCCTCTGTACGTCCCTTGTCCCCTGCAATGGGGACTCAGCTGGGTATCAGCCACGGGGCTGGGTAGCGTGGGGTCAGCGAGAGCCCTGGCTGAAAACGTCTGTGGGACAGAGCAAGGGGGGACACACAGCACTGGAGAAGAGGAAGGCCAGGCCAATCTGCCAGCCAGCCAAGGCAGAAGGCATGCAGGGCACAGCCGCTTCCAGCAGGCTGCTCCAGGAAGCAACTTTTCTCTCGAGTTTGCATGAAAAGCAGAGCCCACTAGATGGCAATCGCAGGTCTAGGATGGCCAAGATCCCTGCAAAGCTCCCCAGGTTTAGTTGTCCGGAAGCGTAAAACAGACAGTACGTACTGACTGTATCATGAGCACACTGGTATTCAGATTTCCTAATATTTCCTGAGAGCTGTTTAGGGATAATTGTCCAATAAATCTGAGGTTTCTTTGCCACATGCTGAATTGGAAGTGCTGTGCTTTTTCAAACTGTCTCCTTCACGGATGCTTCAACAGGGTGCAGTTACGCAGATTGACTTGAGCTAATCGAGTAGGTTACCAAGGCCAGAAGGAAGGAGGAAGGCTCCTTCTCTGCCACGTCCCTCCCATCCCAAACACGGTGAACACCCTCGCTCTGCCAGGTCTGACTTTCCCTGGGCCTGTGCCACTCCGACAGTGCTGTGCCAGGCTGGGGATCCAGGTGGATCTGTAAAAGGCCCAGCAAGTGCCAGAACAAACACAAGGAAAGGGCAAAACATGTCTGGGATCAGAGAAGTGAGCAAGAGGGGCAGGACTTACCATTCTTGGTGGCTGGGAGCTGTTAGATGTTACTTGTAGATGTTACTTCAACTTTTTCTTAACAAACCTGCTTTTCTTTGAGGAATACATAGGGTTTTCAGCCATGGATATAAAGATCTTAATTTTATTTTGGGAGGGACACCAAAGTAGAGGTCTCCCAGTCCAACACACACAGTTCAACACAGGTGAGATCAGGTTGCTCAGGTACTTTTCTGAGTGTTGAAGATCTCCACGTATGGAAATTCCCTACATCTCTGGTCTCTGAAGATTTGTTCCCCTACACAGAGAAAAAGGTTTTATTTTCATCTAATGAAGATTTCTCATGCTCTAGCTCGTGTATCTATTACCTCTTGTCTTACCACTGCACACCTTTTGTGAAGAGTTGACTGGATCAGCCTTACCTAGTTACTACTTACCTAGTTACTACTAGTTACCTGGATAAATGTAGACAGTATTAAATCACCTTCACCTTCCAAGGAGTATACTCCCAGAGAAGTTTTACATCAACAGAGTTTTGCTATCAAGTATCATCATTATTTCATTTAGTTTAAAATGACTTTTTCCATTTTCTGAGCAAAACAAAAACAAAAAAGCAAAGAGCAATAACAACAACAACAAACACTTTGCAAAGCACTGGGCAGTTATATACATAAACCTGTCTGATACAATGGTCCTGAAGCAAAGCTCTTTATGTTTCTTAAAAAAATAAAATAAAAAATCAGTGCCTGTGGTTCCCCCTATGTGGTTCACTACACCCATTCAAGGAAGTGTGGTTTGCAACACGAGCAGCTGACACCCACACATAAAGCTTTAATGACTTCAGCTGGGGTGAGGGCTCTGACTCACTAAGAGGGGCTTATTACCAGTCTGGGAGAGCTGACCTGACCACTTGATCCCCCTTTACCCCACCCTCTTTTGGAGGTTCCTACCCCAATTGCAGACACAGCTAAAGGTCTCCTTAAGCACCACTGCCAGAAACTATAATCCAGCTGTGAAGGTAAACCTGTACCGATTTTGGTTTTCTTCTGTGCGTGAGGGCTGTGATTTATAATTCATGAACTGCTTTGCTCAGAGATTATCTGGAAATTGATGGACTGATGGAATTGAAGCTTCATTTCCAGACTCAGGGAGCTCTGGTAATCAGAGCTGAATCATTTAGTCTGTATTGTGCTCATGATGTGAGCAACAAGGAAAAGGAGAGGTTATCTCTGCACTCACAGACAATGAATCAACAAAAAGACATAATTAAAGAACTAAAACTGAGGGAGGAGTACAACAGGAGTTCAAAGTCACATGAACTCACTGTTTATGTTCAAAACAAGTCACCTGGAAAGTGGGAACTTCTGGGTTACTTTGAATTAACCTTGACACTGTAATGTTCCTTCAAAAAAACAGCACAAGATGAACATGCTAAAACCCAGTATTGTTGCCAAGTATTTCATTTAGTGAAAATGAAATACTCGATTCTATATGCAAGTAGAGTGGATACTCAATATACTCAAGTCTCTGTCCTCGATACTCATTCAAGTCTTGATAGGCAAGTAGTAGAGTGGATCTGCAAAAGTGACAGTCTATCTTTCAGATCCTTTATTCATGATTAATGCAAAACTCCCACTGAAATGTAAGGGTTTGACTGACCATAACTAGTGATTAAATATTGCCACAGCCAGTTTGCAACATAAGTATTCTCCACAACAGGAAAGGGATATAAAAGTTTCCCTGAACTCCTATGATTTTCTGTAATTCATACAATGACATCATGATTCCAGGCACTAACTTTTGCACTCACTATCACATGCTGGATGAATGTTACACCGTCTCACTGCCCCTTCTGGGTCCCTTTGATCCAGGCAGACACACCAGCTGTGGCAGCTGCTGAGCTCTGTCTGGAGGAAGAAAATTGTCTTCTATGGAAGATTTAAAGATTTTTTTGGTTGATTCATTTGAAGCTGAAATAAACTTTCTGAATTTGTCTCACAAAAATGAAGCACTACCTTTTCTCAAGCCTATGCAAATTTCATTTTCACAAAATAGAATTGTTTGTATTTTTTATTTCATTATATAATATATGACTTAAAGATGTTTATATACACAAAAACATTGAAGCAAATGCAGTTTAGCATACAAACTAGAAACATATGTTGAAACAGGACTTTTTTTTTTTTTCTTCTGTCTTTTGAGTTGAAACCTCAGCAAATTCAATTCCACTTCTGAGAACATTTCAAATTCCACAGGCGGGCAGATCCCAGCAGCCTCTTCCACCGCAGCATGTTTCACCCCTTCCACTGCTGGTGCCTTACTCTATTTTCTGAGCTGCTTTGCAGCAATACTGGAGTTACAGGAGTCCTATCACTCGACTCTTTTATACATGGTATCACACTTTTGGGAGAATTGTTTTTAGCAAAGCTGTGCTAATCTGCTTGAAAGGACGACCTAGCACAGGTCTGCTCAGGACATGGGCCAGCTCTGCCGGGCATGCAGTGAAACACAAATGGAGGCTTTTCTCAGCTCCAATAATTGCAGCCAGACCTGGTGCTGCTTAATTTAACAGCAAGGCTCTGAGGCCAAGATTTTCTGTTAGCAGAATCACGTGGGAATTGTAAAATGCTCAGAATGTCTGAAAATCAGTCGGCTTATTCAGATGGCTGAACAGTGGGCTTCGGAGACACAGCTTCAGGCAGACATTTTCAAATGTCTTGGCTCTATCTACTGTAGCAAGCAAGGTGATAGCACAGTTCCTTTATATTGCTTAGAGAAATGCAGGTATTCAGACAACTGAGTCACATTTCTAGCTTTAGAAATCTGGCCTCTAATTCAGTGATTGCCCCTCTTCCATTTGGGTGCTCATAATTTTATTATGCAAAAGTCAGTCTTTGTTAGGGAATGGAAAAGAGATCAAGCTTAGCCTTTTAATTGTCTTTTCTTTAGAAATGGGGAAAACGTTTTCACTGCTACTTTTTTTTTTTTTTTTTTTTTTTTGCCTAACAGAAACTAGAAATGATATCATGGGGATGTGCTGGCATGGCAAGCCAGTGGTAGGAGAGGTGAGGATGATGTCTCAGGGTAAATATAGGGAAGCAGATACCAACATAAACAGCAAGAGTGCCCTCCTTTGTCCACATCAATGGGAAGTCCCAGAAAGATTTGTGCCCTGACCAGGTCTTCTACCATCTTTTTTTTAGGATCTGTCTGAACTGCTGCACCTATTCCTCAGTCCCCAAGATGTGCAACCATATGGCCACAGGCACGAGACCCTCATCCTCCAGTCACCCATCGGGATGCTGATGTGACACTCAGTCCTGTGATCCAGACGGGATGTGATGGACACACATCCAGCTGCGGACACCCAACAGGCTCTGGTCAGAGATGAGATGATAGTTCTTCTCTGGAGCACATCTGATAAGATGCTGGAGGAGAAGGAAGGGTGTATTTCCCTCAAACACCTGCAGTGGATGTGTAGAGGTTGCTTGCTACGTCCTCTGAATCCCACACTTTCATTTGATCCCCATTCTCTTCAGCAAGGAAACAATGGCATCCTGAGAGCTACAAGCACATAAATGTTAATATTCACAGCTATTCTCCCTCAAAAAGAGGGTGGACCCACCCCTGCCCTAGCAAAACCAGCCCCTGGTTCATGCTTCCCAGTAACCTTGGTGTTGTTTGGGATAGTGTGAGATGCGAACTCATGATTAAGCAGCAGGGAAAGGCTGTGTGAACCCTGGCCCCTAACTCTAGCTGGCCCATGCAAATGTGACTTGGATTTAGTTCCCCTGCACAAAGCCCTCTCCTGACCCAAGGTGAGTCCCAAATTGGCCAGGGGCTGCATGTGGTGGCCTCCATACCCTTTGCCAGGGTTGGAACGGATGCTCTAAGGTCACCACAAGCTGTTTTTATTGCAAGTTCCTTCTCCTTTCCTGCCAGGCACATTTTCCCTTGAACCATATCCAGGTCTCCACCTGAGCAATACTCACCCGCCACTTCACCACATGTCAAATGCCTGTTCAAGCACTAAACCAACAATGTCCCTGCAGAGTTTTCATTTATCTGATAGCAAGCAGATTGAAATTACTGGTTACATGCTTACCTCTGCTATGTAAAGCCAAGGAGCTTTAACTCTTTGCTCACGGCTGACAAAGACTGGCAGGAAGTTTGCCTCCAACACCTCTGCTCTCTCTTATTTCTGCCATATGAAATTACCATTTGGGAGCAAGAAGTAGCTTTTCACTGGCAGAGAAGTTGAACCTTGAAATATCCTCCTTCAACTCCAGAAGCCGTGATTCCCACTACCCATGTTAGCCTGCTACATAAGGTTTTCAAAGCTCTGCTCTTGAAAGGGAAGGCTCCCTTGGTAATGTACACAGGCTAGCACTACACAATGCATTCTCATTTCATTCACTCTATTTTGGAGAATTAATATGTTATTTGGGAGCTCTGGCAGATTACAACCTGCCATGTGCCAACAGTGCTATCCTGATGCAAAAATAAAAGCTCTATACCAAGATGACAAACAAGACACAAAAAACAGTAATTCACCACAAATCAGCACTGGTAGAGCTGCACCTACAGAACCCGTCTGTTTTAGGAAAATGTTCTTCATAAAAGGGGTAGACCAAGTGGTGCAAGGATGCCAAGAAGAATGAACAGCTGTCTGGAAACTGTTTTCTTTCCAGAGAAATTGAAATAATGGAGCAGGTTACCTTGGGAGTCTGATGAGGTTTCTAAGAACAAGTTAGAGAAATTCTTTTGGAAATGGTTAAATTATATCTGATCCTATCTTCTAACAGGGGAAGTGACTAGCTGGCCCTTCAACATCCCTTCTAGAGCTATTTTTGTGTTTCCATGACAACTCTTTTTCAGATAAAATTTTTCATTGTATCACCGGGGTATTCTAAGGTGACTCATGGAAGGCAGTTTATGGGGGTTGATACTTAACACCCACATGTGAATAGCTAATAACTTTTTTTCCCTAGACTGATCCTCTTATTAATTATTTGAGGACACTTCCATATAAATCTGTCGTTAAACCATTTTCATCATATTTCCATCCCCCCACTGAAATTCAGCCAAAGATGGGATGACAGCAACAAGATCACACCCACTTTCAGTAGGACAGAGAGGGAAGAATAACGTTTCCTGTAGTCGCTACCAAAGGAAGTTCATTTAAGCAAGATTTTCCAGCTGGAATTTGCCCAGGTATGCCAGGGTTCACATCATTGCTCTTTAAAAAATAACAAATGGCCAGAGAGGATTTGACTTCTCATTGCCTTGCAGAGATAGGAGCTCCAGCTGAGCAGCATCTTTTCCTCCCTGGGGAAGGGACCTGAGGTGGGACTAGACACGCTGCAGAACCAGTGCCGATGACGTTGCCAGCTTGGACATACTGGAAAAGAAGCTAAAGAAGAAGCTGCAATCCGCAGGAACACACATCAGCCAGGACTGATAAAGAAATACTCAGTAAGCAAGTATTCTTGGCCAGAGACCGAGCTCTTACAAGAGGTTTCCACAATAGCGGTAGCATAAAGGGTGAAAACAGCTATCGAGTGACTGAGAGCTGGTGGTACAAGCGTAGAGGGTGAGGTCAGATATTGCAGGTGAGATGGGAGAAATTCGCTTTGTCCTTTAGGGACAAGCTGGAATTTTCCTCCTAATGGGTATTCTACACCCTCCTTACGTAACTGTAGGAAAATGCTGGTTAAACAGATGCTGGGCTGCTACCCTGAGCGATCTCTTAACTGGCCTGGCAGGCGGCTTGGCAATGGCCTAGGATCCAAAGGCCTGGATGGAAAACTCTGAAACAGAAGCTGCTCGCCACGTAGCACATTGGCATCCTGCGGAAAAGACCTTGGCCTGGAACCAGGTACTTCTGAGTAACAAAACCAGCCGCAGGACGAGCTAGCACGGACACTTTGTAACTGTAATTTACAGACAGCTTAAGCACTTTTCGTTGGTGACAAAAGTACAGGAGTAGCGAGACTGTCCGAGCACCTACATAGATGTTAAGACAGAGATTACAGAGTGATGTTACACACCCGTTAAAAAAAAAAAAACAAACAACCATTTGCCTCTCCCTCCAAATTGTTTTTCTTTATTTTTTTTCCTTTTGCTGCACACCACCCCACTTTAGTCTCACAGGAGCTTCCCACAGGGCCAAGCCAGGCCATGTGCCCACATGGTGCATCTGCTGGTCCCCCAGCACATTCCCGGTGATGTTTTGCAGACCTCCTTGGGTGGAGGTGCGGCAGCTATGGTGAAAGCTGGGCCACCTGGGCCAGGCAAGGAGTTTTCCCCTGCAGCTGCTCTTGTTGAATCAGCATATAGCAGCAATTGCTTGAGGAGCTGGGCCTGATTCACATCTCGCTTGGACTAATATTTCAGTTGGGAATGTATCGGTGTGCAGCTGCTGTAAGCAAGGTCAAAGTGAGCTCTTACGCACAAAAGGAAATAGAGAACGGAGGCAGCTCTGGGTCAAAGTCATAGGAAAGGCACGGTGGTGCTTAATTGCACGTATAGTTACTCTATACATTATGTCATATGTTATGCTTTTCCTGCTCCTGCAGCCAGCCAGCAATCTGGGACTAAGCTGTGGAGGAAATTGACTTTAGTTCCTCCACCTGTCCGCTGTGTGGCTTGGGGAGACTCTCCATCACCTCATGCTTCTGGGAGCATGGGGACACAGGCTGGGACAGCTCCATTGCTGTCTTCTTCTTTAACTAAAATAACACAGTCATCTTTTTTAACTGCTGGCACCCAAGGAACACACAGAAAGTGAAAATGCTGTAGATTAAAAGGCACCGCTGTGTCCTTCATAGCAGCGTGTAGAAATGAGATGAGGATGCTGGATGAGACAACACATAGGCAGCAGAAGGTGTTCTTGGGCTGTGCTTCTCAGTATTACCAAGAGTGAGGGATTCTATCTGTAATTCTAGCTCCTTCAGATTAGGTATCTCTGGTCTGAGGGATTTGTTTTGATTCCTCGTGTAGTGAACAGATAGAGAATGGCAGCTGCAAAGGGGGTGATTCAGCCCACCCTAAAATAGATGGAGTGAGTCATCCCCAGACAGGCTTATCGCCTGCCACCGATTATAGAGAGAGACCAGACAAATTGCTTAGGTGAGATGCCATTGCTTTTAGATGGCTAAAATTAAACAAGTGGTATTCCAGTCTGTAGTCACAAAGGTCTTTAGGTCTTCTGCCCAGTGATTCTGGTAAAAGATAGCAGCTTTTCCATCTTTCACTTGCAGTGAAATGACATCAAGTGTTCTTGCATATTTGGAAAAGCACGGTCCAAGCAGGGTTTCAGCTCTCAGTGCAATTAGAAGAATTCCCGAGGAGGACAAATAGGGCCCCAGGCAGCTGAGCCCAAAGAAAATCCAGGCTAAATTATCTGAGGTCCACAGACACTTAGCAGAATGCTGAACATTTATTTTTAGAAAAAAAAGCATTTTCTTGGAACATTTTCCTTCAACCAACATGCAGGGTGAAAACATGAGAGGCAAAGATTGGAGTGAGGGGGATTTTCCTGGGGTCTGAGCCTCAGCAGCACATCCAACAGACCAGGAGATGGGCAGCAGCACCACAACACAGGGCTGGGTGCTACAGCGGTGGAGCCTTGGGTGTCGTGGGCATGTCTGGTGCCCCTGCATATGCCCAGAGTCACCAGCACCACTTGCCATCATGGCTAAACAAATACACTATGAGGAAGTCTGCACCCTGACCCCTGTTTTCCCCTTCTCCTCTCCTGATGGCTTTCTACGGCAGCTGTACAGAAACGGTGTGAGTTTCAAGCAGTCTCTGACCTCCTGACAGAGGAGCAAGGCTTGCCAGAGAAGAGAAGAAATGTAGCCGTGTCCCTTCTTAAAGCTTCAGCATGTTTTACAAAATTATAAATAATAGACCATTGCATAGCTCAGGGCGAAGCTGTTAAAAACAAGTCGGGTTGGTTCTGCTGGATAAGGTACAGAGCAGGAAGGTTACGCAGCAAAATGTCACAGCCCAGAAAATAAGCTGGCAGTGGGATGCAAGGAGCGAGCTGAGTTCCCATGCTGAGGCAGGGAGCAGAACGAAGCCTTCACATCACCAAGCACATTTCCTGCAGCATTGATATGTGCTTTGGTTGCATTTTCCAAGCGACACATGCTAAGGCAGCAGAGTTGCAGAAGGACAAAGCCAAGGGTCAGTGGTATTTTCTCTGCGGAGCCTGTGGTGGAAGCTGAGAAGTCCCAGTGTAAGCAAAAGTTTTAGCGCTGCAAGGGGCACAGCGTAGGCACAGGCTTAGCACCTACAGGATGAGGGTGAGCTGCTGCTTCGAAGTGTCTGGAGCACAAAACAAAAGAAAAAAAAAAAATCAGCACAGCTATGTTGAAACCAGGGTGGTTCATACAGCAAAAATCTCTGACAGCTTTCAGGGTAAAATCATTTCTGGAACAGCTGTGGTGGTTTAAAGTGTTAACTCCTGTGATGAGGGAGGTCTCCATCACTTCCGAGGACAGGAAGAATTAAAAAAAGCATCCCACAATCCCAGGGCTCTCTGACCTGGGAGGCTCAGACCACCTGGTAGGTAGCTACACGAGGGAGCAATCCACTGAACAGTTGCACCAGCAAGGAGTTAAAATTTTTGCTTCCCCTTCATTTAGACAAACCAGTCTGCTTGTGGTTGGCCTTGAAGAAAAAGCAGGCTGTGGTATGTGGGCTTCTGGTCCAGGTTCAGGCCACATTCGTGCTGTGGTGAGAGACCAGCATGGCCAGGCTGCCGTGAGCATCCTCCCCGAGCTCTTTGCTTGAGGTTGGCAGCAGCCCTCCGGCCGCCTGCTCCTGTCACGGATGGACACGCTGGGATGCGATGTCCCCAGCATCTCTCTGCACTGTGAGCCAGGCTTGTCCAACCAAGACTATTCTGCATTTGTTTTCCCATTCCTGGAGCCTGTGGCAAACAGAAAAAAAAAATAAAAATATGAAAGCAGTGAGTTAACAGCTCTTGGAGCAACCCTTCCAGCAGTGCTGGGTGTGCCTTCCTATTTATGCTTGACAAGTGTTTTTCTGGCACCAGAGGGAGGACAAGGGCAGTGGCACACTCTTTGCAGCAATGTGCAGGGGCAGTGAGGAGCCCAGTGGGCTCACACCCTACGGAGATCGCGCTTCTGTGGAGAGATCCCCATCCGAACAGCCTCCTCAGACCGAAACCTTGGGGCAAAGCAACAGGAAAAAATGCTCTGTGTTAACACTGCCCTGCAGAAAGTTGTTTCGGAAACTGTCATCCTCGCCAAGTGTAAAAACAGGCATTTTACCTACAGGAAATGAGTCCTGCCAGACAACAAGCTATCACAACCCTTCCAGGCGGAGTCCACGCTCTGAAGGAACTGCGTGGCAGGAGGAAGCGGGTTAAGGAGCAGGCAGCACTCAGAGGCACTCAGAGGGAGAGGAAGGAGTCAGGCAGCTCCTGAGGATGAAAAGAGGCATAGGGAAGGCATGACAGGGCTCCTAGACGTGGTTTGGTTTCTTCCCTGATGTATCAGGGATAGTTAAATAAACTACAGGCACCGGTGGGAGTCCCAGGCGCAAAAGTGTGCTGAGTAACAATGTGCAATGGGGCAGCGACTGCGGCTTCAAATGCAATGAAACACAGGAATATTAAAATGAATATTAAAACTCTTTCTGCCCTCTGCTCCCTGGGCTGACCACACTCATCCCTCTTCTCTGGCATGATCTGGAGTGGAGCAGGGCTGTCTGCATGCTGTCTGAGCCTCAGAGTGGGTTTATGCCCCGTTTCCGAGAGGGACAGAGGTGAGTTGCACCATGGAGCAGTAGTGCCAGGGATGTGACTCCATTTCCCAGGTAAATCAGGTCGCAAGGGAAGCAGGCAGCTTGTGACTGTCCAAGAGACACAGCTGCACAGTCAGCCCTGAGCCTCACTGCCCCTTTGTCTGAGACTTGTGGTGTCACACTACGAGGTGAATCATTACACTGTTTTTCCTTGGTTTTATGAAAGATGCGAGTGGTATTGCCCATGGCTGTTACATGATCTGCTTCCTCTTTAAAACATTCTTCCAAGAACAACATTCCTACCCTATTATCTTCTCTTTTCTCTCCTCTCCCCTTCTTCCTAATCCCTTCTCCACAGACCAGTCATTTGTCACTGTTTTCTCAGACTAAATTCCCCACCAAACCCTCCTCCACCACCGGGGGTGGAGGAAGGGGCCTGCAAGCTTCCTGCATAGCTCTCCTCCAGGCTTCATGAAGCCTTGCACAACCAATGCTGCCCTCTCCAAAACGGCACTCTTCCTCTCTCAAAACGTATCTCAGGGTACTAGGAGGGCAGCAGAGTGGCTTGTGGGTGCCAGGAAGGCTTAGCACGGGATGCTGCAGAAATAGGGGGTGAGTTTGTTCTGCTCCTCTCTGCCTGCAGCTTGCCCAGGCTTTCTGCACTCTGGGCAGCTGTAGCTTTTTAATCAAAACAACCACCCTGCAGCCTCTATTTGGTTTTGATTTGCAGGAGGGAAATTACCAGCAGCTAATAAGCTAATGTAACTTTTACTGGGAGGCCAGGTACGTAGCCTGCTAACGTTGACAGACTTGATCACGTACATTTAACTGGAGCACTTTGCTGCAGGATTTTGTACAGATGTTTCCAAAGGGCTGAAGGAAGAGGGGTCAGGGGACTCACATCCACACGAGATTCAGGTAGGTCTCAGGCTAGGGTTGCTTGTCAAGGAAAAGAGGGCAGGGAGAAGAGGTAAAACAGACTATACATAGTCTATCACTGCTGTGGTTTTGGTCTCTCAAGATTAATTAACTTCACAGGGAGCAGGCAGAAAGCAGCTCTAACTTGCACTCTAATTGCAAGCAGTGCAGCCACAGCGTGAGGAACAAGGAGGTGCCACTACTCCTTGGAAGTCACAAGCCTGAAATCAGTTGCCATTGCTCACAGCTGAGGTCTAAGAGCGTGCTTTCACTTGTGTCCCTCTCAACAACCACCGCCAGCAGCTAGGAAAAGTCCTTGGCCAGGGCGTGGAGGGAAAAAGCCAAAGGCTCTTGTTTAAACCAGTTCTGTGCTTGTGTTGCTTCAGA